TTCTTCGGAAACTTATATATTTTATAAAACAGGTTTGAAATAATTAAGTTGAATGATCTGAGGACTGACGTTCAGTCCAATCTAGGAAAGCCGTGCTTTCCAATTGCCCTTTAAGGTTAGTGCATCTGCCATATGCCTTCTTAATACGGGTTAATATTGAAGTCATTGAATGCTCCATTTCTAAACTTTTGGATTTCATACATGTTCTACATATTGAATACATTATATATTGTTTTCACTGTTTTTTGGTTTTTGGTTTACATAGATATTATATAGCGCTTTTACATTTGGCATCCATCGTCTCCGTATAAATCAGTTCACAAACTAGAATAAGCTGTGGTCCGCATCCCCGAATCTCCAACAGAATTGCCCCTGCTACATTTTGGTCCCGCGAGGCGGATGTGGAATTTTTTTAAAGCAACTTTTCTTGTTTGTAACTGAACTAAATTATTTATAAGAAATGGAGCAGACATTTGAGTCAGTACTTGTAATTGGATATGACAGTCCTAAGCAGACCAGTTTGAAGAGTTGGGCCGATAGTTGTCCCTGTGACATTTTATTTTCATAGATTGATTCATTTTGTAAATGTATATTTAGTTATGATTAGGTTTGAAGAAAACCTTGCTTGTTTGATGGTGTCAGCATTGATGTTACAGATTATTTTGTTCATTTTGAGACAGTTTCTCTTTGGAATCAGTGGAATGAATTTGAGATGGCATGTCAGTTAATAATGAATTTAAGAGGTGATGCTCAAACTATTTTACGTTTCTTAAAAAGGCCACAGTTGTATGATTATGACTGCTTGAAAAATCATCTCATTCAGAGGTTCAATCCTAAGGAGAGGGTGGCATATTTTAAATTTCAGCTGCGAGTTTGTAGTTTGAAGGAAAGTGAAACCATTTCTGAATTTGGTCAGCGTTTTAAGATACTAGCACATAAGGCTTATCCTGATAATTTTTCAGATTTAGATGTGTATTTTACTGACTTATTTACATCATGTTTGAATATTGAGATGACTAAATTTGTCACTTTTAAGCACCCTCATAGTTTAGATGAGGCTTTATCACTAGCTATTGAATATGAAGCTGTTCATTTTACTGGTAATCCAGAGACTATTGATGAGTCAGAAAGTTTAGATTGTTGTAATACGGTTCATAACAATTTTGAAATTTTAATGAATATATTGAGTAGGCGACTGAGATCACGTAGGAAATGTAAACCTAAGAAATGTTTTAAATGTCACCAGTTAGGTCATATCAGGTCTAAGTGCCCAAATATGTCCCTTAGAGTCCATGCTAGAGATGAAAGGTCTGCAGATAGTCAAGTGAAATTCTCAAAAATAGAAGGGATATTAAAGAACAATTTGAATCACAATTTTTGTAGTTCAGATTGTGTTACCTTTGTTTAATGTTTGTTTTTACATTGTGTTGTATATATACAGTTTTACTTTTCAGATTTATTTCAATGTATGCTCAGAGATGTTACACTTCTCAAATTTGGCTGTTTGGTTTTCTTTCCCAAAGGAAGGGATGCCGTGCATCTCATCTTATTATATTTTTCATTTTTGATTACTTGAATTATGGCTGATCTTCTGTGTAGTTTGAAGTGTAGACTGTTAGCTAGTTGTAGTTGGAATTGGTTTATTTTATGAGTTGATGCTCGTTTGTCTGGATTGTAATCTCTAGCTAAATATTTAATATTTAGAGAAATTATAGAAGTCCGACTTCTTGACTTTTATTAGTTATGGCAGAAACCAATAGAGTGAACGTTAAGCTTGAAGTTAGGAACACTTCTAGCTCATACAGATGGACCCGATCCATTATTTAGTAACTTGCACAAAATTTGGGCATCGTCCATTTTATTTTGAGAACCTTGCTATAACAGTTTGGCATCGTCCAACTTTATTTTGAGAACCTTGCATATAGATGGATCCGATCCATCTCCGGTGGTACACCATTTGTGCTACCGTTATCAACAACGCTGGAATGCAGTAATAGGACCCGGTGGTACACGTCAAATGTGCCACTGTGAGATCAACAGTAGTGGAGGTTACCTGGTACAACTTAAATTACAAGTCTAGGTCTGCTGTACAGATCAAAATCAGTATATTTTGTTCAGCTGAATGGTGCTTTCAATCGGTGGCACAACGTCTGTGTTACCGTTATCAACAACGTTGGAGTGCAGTAATAGAACCCAGTGGTACACGTCAAATGTGCCACTGTGAGATCAAAATTGGTGGACATTGCCTGGTATAACTTTTCATGGATTTCAACATTAGATGTGCCGTTACAATATATGCCGTACCACTGAATATGAAGCCTGCTTACCAAGAAGACTTGAAGTCGCGTCCGTTAACAGATGAACCTGATTCTGATGCTGATGTGTGTTTGTGTATGTGTTATACAGTGACATTTATTTCTAAGTGATATTATTACATGTGTTTGAAAGACATTTAATCTGGTGAACGTTGATAGACTTTTGTTAAATTTAAATTTTCAAATGTTATTTCATTTACATTTATTTTCGAAGGGAGGTGGAGGGTATCAGACTGGTGTTGTGGTCTCATTGAACAGTCTTGTTATTTAACTTTAACTGATATATATTAGATTTAATGTTTTATCATTACAAATTATTCATATTTATTTTACATGCCATTTGCATTTTGCGTGTTTAGTGTGGCAGGTACATCAATTTGATAGACATTTCAGTTTGCAGACTTTATTTATGAAATTTATCGTTTGTCTTAGGGGGAGGAATGTGGCAGTTAGGATTATTATGTCATTGTTATTTCCCTTGTTTAAAACTATAAATTTCATATTTCTTTATTTAATGATTTACATGATGCTTAATTATTAGGTATATATTTGTTAAATTGAATACCTATTGCTATTTTGAATTCATTGGTTAAAGATATTTAATTATATTCTAAAGTTTAGTATTTGCATCGTCGCAAAACATTTATTACCTTCTTCGGAAACTTATATATTTTATATAACTGGTTTGAAATTATTATGTTGAATGGTCTGAGGACTGACGTTCAGTCCAACCTAGGAAAGCCGTGCTTTCCAATCACCCTTTAAGGTTAGTGCATCTGCCATATGCCTTCTTAATACGGGTTAATATTGAAGTCATTGAATGCTCCATTTCTAAACTTTTGGATTTCATACATGTTCTACATATTGAATACATTATATTGTTTTCACTGTTTTTGGTTTTTGGTTTACATAGATATTATATAGCGCTTTTACATTTGGCATCCATCGTCTCCGTATAAATCAGTTCACAAACTAGAATAAGCTGTGGTCCGCATCCCCGAATCTCCAGCAGAATTGCCCCTGCTACACTATATTAATGTGAGTTATGGTACTGTACATCATTGCTACTTTGTTGGTGTTCACTGGCAATCATACAAGTGGCACTGCTGGTTTTATGGTAGCTGTCGGTACCGTAGCGTACAGTCCTTCTGAGTACTATTTCGATGTTACATTTTTTGATGTTTTTGAGTGTTTGGTGACCAAACTGATGAAAAATAGTCTAATAAAAGAATTTCGTCATGTTCGTACCAAAAATTTATATAAACCAAACTATTTGTTCATTCCTAATCTATTTCTAAGTTTCATTTTAGAAAGCCATGCAGGCTTTGGCAGTGGTGTTTCTATATGAGTATCCCATGACCTATTGTTGAATAAGGTGATACCAAGTTTTTTTGCTTTGATAACAATCTTAAATATGGCCTTTCAGTGTGTAACTGTGTTTGTATGGTGATGGTGACTTTGGTCTCTTTACATAATAGGGCGTTGCATTTTCCTGGGTGGAGCATTGCATTCCTCAAACATTGTTTCCAGGTGGCTAGATGGTTCAGATAATTCTGGAGAAGACATTCTCGATAATATTCTTGTTACAAGTTTTATTGTTCTATATAAATTACAGACATCTGCACACACAAGTGGGTTTTAATGTTACTGCTGATGGAAGGTCATTTGTGAAGACTAGAAAAATTAGAAAACTATATATGAACCTTGAGACACTCCAGTGACCCCTTGCATTTGACTAGATACCTCTCTATCAAAAACAACCTGCTGCATACTTCCCAATGTCCTAGCTAGCACTCCGTTTTTGTTGGGTTTGGGATTCCTTGTAAATATTGTTGTAAATACGTTAGTGGCACATCTCCATTAAACCCGAAAGGGAGTGTACACAGGATTCCACTGTACCCTCGCAGCTCTCGAGGGGTAATCCTAATAACGGAGGAATCTACCAGTACATACATGCATACATATTATAGAAAGTTTAGACCCATTCAGGGAAATTCCCCATTAGGATACCATAATTAGCCAGCTACCTTTATAATATAAGAGTACCTGTGAGGAACCTAAATTACCAATGCAAATTCCTACCGTCTCCCGCAATATTCTTATTGCCTTGTTTCGGTTTTCTATTGATTAGACTCGGAATTATTGAAACGTGACACTGTTTTACTGATTTTAAAAGGTCAAGTTACAATAAATGAGCTCAGCCATGGGTAAAATTTTGCATACAACTTTGGCTCTTTGTTCATGTTGAACTATAAAAACGTATAACAGAAAATAAAAAAAAATTAGGCATTTATCTGTTATTTTCTGAAATATTACTGAATGAAATCTGTAATAATATCGGTGAAGAAGTGTACAGAAAGCACATAAAATGGGTGAAAAACGTCCTAGAGTCAAAAAAGTCGTGCGACGTCAATAGTTAATGAATTTATTTTCGAAATTTTAAAAGTCTCCGTTCTGGATTTACTCCTTTGATGAAAACAACTTTATATTTCACTTAATTCTTAAAATACTCCTGTTAATGTGACCAATGGAAGTATTATATTGAAAATATATACGAATTTCGTATACGACGAGGGTGGTTTTAAATGCGGATCTTGCACGGTCGGTAATTTCGTATGATGAGGTTCTCCAATTTTTATAGGAGAAAGATTAGCGGAGAATTAAAACATTAATGTACGTTACTTTCCCCCGATGGAAACGTACCATCATCATGTTTGTTAAGTTTATTTTTCAAACTGTTTAAACAGACTTCAGATTAAATCTTCATCTACAAAGAATAGATATGATTTATATATACCAATACATTTTATGAATCAATTGTTTTACTACACGGTAAGGTTATTTTTAAAGCGAAGAATGTGTAATTTCTGATTATTCAAGATGGCCGCTAGTACACGCCTGACCACGAACACGTCGGTACCTCGAATCACCGAATAACACCGTTATTAGCCAAATAACACTTGTAAACACTGAATAACTCTTGAAATTTTAATATTAGCACATATTGGTGACATTTAATCATTGATTATTAAATAATATTGTATTATAAGTGTATTTTATAACTTAAAAATTATTTATAGAAAGCAGGTAAGTTCATAAAGATCGCATTAAATATTAGTGTGTACATCCAACATGGCGACCAAGGAAACACAATGGGAAGAATAAAAGAATGATTGCATATGCATACAAAGGGAAGAACTATGAAAATAAAATATTAAATAATGTACTGTATATACAGAGTATTGTCCAATAATTGTTTTTCTGTAAGGTTTCGAAAAGTTAACAAGTACATCAAAGCCATGCAATTACTCCAATCACCAATTAGTTTTCTTAACGATTTACTCAATATTGAATGAAACGTAATTAAGAATTTTCACATATTTAATTTAAATTTAATCAAAAAATTAATTATACTTGATTGTTTTATAATAAAAACAAAGCAGCTGAATGGATGATTCGTATGTGTGTATTTTCTCAAAAAGAAATTACAGGTTTTCATTGGCAAATATTAATGTTTTTACAAGTAACTAAAATTTGGTATAAAAACATGTGAAGACATATGTGCTGTCTTCCATTTTTAAAATGGCTTTATATCCTTGTGTTCAATGTGATGAAGAATGTGTTGATTGCACAATTCAGTGCAGTAGTTGTGATCGTTGGGTTCACAGTGCTTGTGTCCCAATGAATGATTCAATGTTATCGGCCTGGTCAGATGTGTCTCTAAAGTTCCTATGTAAGGACTGCTGCTTTACAGACAACAAGTACGACATGGCCAAGTCCCTAGAAAGGTAAGTAATTTTATAAAGTATATTTTCAACATAATATTTATTAGAATGTATATGAAATATATAAAGAACAAATGTGAAATTGTACATATTTAATTTTAATGAAGACATTAATTTCACTAATTCGATTATATTTAACTTGTTTCTTATTTCATTTTCTTTGGCAATATCCATTTGTTTATTCAATTTACTTAATTTACTAAAAATTCTGAAATAAAAGTAAAGGAAAAAAAAATAATATTCTTAGTATTGACGTTTAATTATTTTTTTATTGCTATGTTCATCCATTTTAATACATTAAATAAAGTTTAATAATGAAATATTTTTTGCCAATTAGATAATTTAATTGTGATAATGCCAAGTTCCCAATTATCAAAATATTTATTACCTTACACTTCTATCATATTGTTAATTAGATTGTTGTTTACTGACACGTGCCCATTACATAATTAATCATTAAATGATAATGAAATTATATTACGGTATGGACACTCTGCATTAAACAGGCTTGTGACTGTCTTGGTATACCAAGGCTGCATTACCAAAACCAATAATAATAATTAAGAAAAAAGAACACAAATAAATATTTACAACTATATACAATATATGTACTTCCTAACTATATCTTCTGTAAAAGTATAATAAGCTTTATTGTTTCACAAAGAATTTTGGATTATTTAAAATAATAAAATTTTTCTTCAGAAAACAAAAATAAAAAACAAAAATTATTTAAACTTATTTGATATGTTTAATAAAATACTTTTTTTTTGCAAAATTCAAAAGACATTCGATGTTAAAAATTTTCTTCAGAAAATAAAAATAAAAAAAAATTATTTAAACTTATTTGATATGAGTTTTTTTCTGTTTAATAAAATACTTTTTTTTTGCAAAATTCAAAAGACATTCGATGTTAAAAAATTTTTCTTCTTCTTGAACAAAATACATTTCACGTGGAGTCAATGAGAAAATATTTCAGTTCATTTGCTAACTTTGTTAATAAACCAACTGACCGACTTCCTCAAAGCTACTAAGAAGGCACGGTAGCCTTCTTCAGTGAAATGTATCCCGTCGCGAGCTTCGTATTCCGTCCGATAAACATTAGTTGGCTTGAAATAATGTACAAAATGATTTTCAAGAGCAATGCTTTTCATCATTTTGTTCACTATCTCTCGGCGAACTGTATGCTCATCGGGAGTGCAATACCAAGGCCCAGACCGCTTCATAACAGACATGAATACTACTGATACTCCTCTCGAAAGACAAGTATAAATGAAAGTATTCATGTCTGTTTTGAAGGCAGCCTCATCAAAAGAATATCTGTCACAATCATTGCTACCTATTTGGCAAATAACCACTTGTGGATTATAATGCACAAACAAGCCAGCCTCAATTGCTTCAGTCAATCTCTTGAAAGTGGCACCAGGATAACCATGCATTTGAACAGAGACCTTCCCATGAGCATTAGACGGGTTCTCCCAGGTATGGGGTTTCCACCTATTCTCACACAAACGTCTCAAATTCTCAACATAGCTATGCCCGAGTACCAAAATGTTCAGCATATTTACGGTAAAATATGAAGAACAGAGTTAAAAAATATTATCTTGCAAATATGAAGTATAGGTGCGTTCGGATAAGATAGGTCTATACAACTGTCAAATGATATGCTAATTCACTATTTATACAAGAAATTGGGCTTTGACTACAGTTCACAATTTTATATTTTTTTAATTATCTACAATTCACAATTTGATTACCATTGATAGTATTTAATTATCTGAATTGTTTTCAAAATCATAAAATGAGATAAAATTAACCTATGAACGTTTGTTGTTCAAATACCAAGCTATAAGTCTTTAATTGAATAGTTTTAAAATTAATTTTAAAACTAATAAGCGAACTTTGTTCAAACACCAAGCTGCATGAAAATATATAAGTTGAAAACCTAAATAATTTTACTTATTGTGCTCTTAAATATTAAAATGATTACTTATGTGAAAGGCGAACATGACGTACTGTCAAATTTCTATCTTAACCAAATAAGTTATGAAGATTACACTTATCCCTCCGCAGAACACTTATATCAGTGTATTAAGTGCGACCACCACCAAGATTATGAATTGTTGCACAAAATAAAACAAGTATCAGATGCCAAAGCAGCCAAAATTATGTCAAAGAGATTGAAGACAAATAAATCATGGGAAGACCAGAAGCCCCTTGTAATGGCCGAAATATTAAAACTGAAATTCATTCAATGCAAAGATTTTAGAGACAAATTAACATCAACAAGTGGCTGATCACAATGTTCCTGACGAATTTTGGGGAACAGGCCGAAAAGGAAAAGGAAAAAACGTGTTTGGACTCCTTCTTGCCGCCTTACGGCTAGGTGTTACCGCTTTGTAATATTGTAACTGATTTTGTATTTTTATTGTTCTTGTTCTGAAATATGTTTAGTATAATGTGATTAAAATATAAAAACTACCCATTTCCTTATATTGCGTTACTTTCTATACATCAGAAATTTATATAGAAATATCTTACTAAAAAGCACTAATTATACCACATATTTTCTATTTAAAACGAACATTAAAAAAAATCTTAACTCATCAACAATGCAATCTCTATTGTAGATTGAGTGGTGTAATAGGTAGTAAGCCCAGAGAAGTGAAACCTATTATAAAATCAGAGAGCCTACTTCTACAAACATACGGTCAGGTCATGCCCGATCCCATTAATCCTGGCTCAGTCCCAAGCGTAAGAGATGAAGTTGCAACTGGCATTCTCCGTAGGTACCATCCAGTTGTTTTAGAAGAGTTGTATCCCGCCAAGATACCCGGTGATGGTAATTGTTTTTATAGGGCAGTTTCGCGCGCGTTAACCGGAACATCCTGTGTATTAGACATTTAAAGGGTAATATTAAACAGAGAATGATAGACGATGGAATCGACAAAAAAGATAGAGAGTCCGTACTAGACAGCATCTTCGGTGACCAAGGACTAGTACATTCCGATGACGACATTTGTTTTGATGTGAAGTGTGAACAGATCGAGGACCGGACAAAGGAACTGTCAGCTTCATTCCACCGATATTTCGCTACTCGTGTAGCACGTACAATTCGTGAATTATGGGAGGGAACGACACCACCAGGTTACTTTGACAAAGGCTGGACCAACAACAACAGCGAATCACTTAACCATGTACTGAAATCAGCCATAAACTGGCAATCAAAACCGTTACTGGACTTGATAGTGATTATTGAGGAAATCGTGGAAACACAATTCAAGGACTTGCAGCGTGCTTTGGTGTCCAGGGGCCAGTACCGTGTGGCTGATTCGCATAAACATTTCGAAATAACAGCAACTTCATGGGTAAATAAAACCGTACAAGAAAGAGAAAGATTGACCAAGAGATTCAAGAGCTACATTCCTCCCGATAAGCGCGTAATTACATCCACAGATGGCAGGATGAATGTCATAAAGCCGAGAGCATTGGGCAAGAAAATCGGACAACGTAAAAGAAAGATAAACGAGAGAACAACAACCTTCAAAAAGAAGAAGGACTGAACTGATTGTGCATTTAATACTATACATGCATTACATTATTATTACAGCAGTGGGTAAATTATGACTTGTTTTAAAAAAGTTTATTGTGTTATTTAATTGTTTATATTTTTATTGCACTTACTGTGTTGCTTACTTCTTCTGTTTTATTGGTAAGTATATTGTATTGTTGAAACTGTTTATTTGAATGGTGTTGAACTTTTTAACCATTGTATGTTTATAACTTACTTTTAACTGCTTTCTTCTTCTGTTTCATTGGTAAGTATATTGTATAATGATTATGTATTGTTCATGCTGTTTATTTGTATTGTGTATATTTTTTCAAATTGTTCATGCTTTTTGTTTGTATTGTGTATACATTTCTATATTGTTCATGCTGTTTTTTTTTTTGTGTATATTTTTTTTACTGGTAGGTACATGTATACGTTCCAACCAATGTATGTTAATAATCTATTTTAATTGCTTTCTCCTAATGTTTAAGTAAGTATAT